GATTATGATGATAATGATGGTGGTAGTGATCATGGTGATTATGATGATAATGATGGTGGTAGTGATCATGGTGATTATGATGATGATGGTGGTAGTGATCATGGTGATTATGATGATAATGATGGTGGTAGTGATCATGGTATATATTCATAGGTCATATTGTTTTATTTCTATTTCAGTTCTTCAATACGGATTTGTTACCATGTTTGTCGCGGCATTTCCTCTTGGCCCACTCTTTGCTCTGCTCAACTCCATAGTGGAAATCAGAGTCGATGCCATCAATTTTGTGGCCCAGTTCCGTCGTCCAGATATTGCCATTGCAGAAGATATCGGTGCCTGGTACAGGATTCTAGCAGGATTAACAAAGCTATCCGTCCTGGTCAATGCGTTTGTCCTGTCCTTCACATCGGATTTTATACCCAGACTTCTGTACAGAATGAAATATGCCCCGGATAGAGATAGCGGAGGGACCCTGAACGGATATCTCAATGCCAGCCTATCGTTCTTTGAGGTCAAATACTTTAACGAGACGGAGCCAGGAACCAAGCCTGATGATGACTATCAAAATCTCAACTACTCTAGTCCTATCTGCAGGTCAGTGGGAAAACACGAAAAAAAGATATATTGTTAAGTCTTATCGATAGAAAATGAAGTACTAAGAGAAGGAATGTTTGCATTGAGGCGTTGTAACCTGTACCAGCAGAATAGCGTGATACCATAATGACTCCCTTTTTTCGCTTCGAGGTATATGTTACAGGTTAGACTTCGGTTCGATCTTACAGTGCTCTCACTGTAGTTCGCTAAGACTTCGGTGGTGATTGGTGAGATTTTCGAGGGTGTTGAGGCTCACAACTAACAATTAATAATCGGTACATAAGTAAGTTGCATTACATTGCGATAAGTGTTTTAAGGCGCAAAAAAATTGCATTTTGTCCCTTCTTCCTTTGCTACATAATCTTGGCGTTTACTCAACGTCTTGCTCGAACATGTGTCCTCGAAATCGCGCCCCATTCCCTCTAGAACGGTTTGGCCGCAACACAACCATCACAGGCACTGTTACATGCTAGTTTTAGTATTATTTATTTGGTCGTTTTTGTTTTTGTTTTTTATTATGGTACCAAAATGCTTCACGAATTTTCCTTCTTATTTAAATTTGCACTTCCCCGGCTCACGAGAGTAGAAAGACAATATTTGTGTTGTTTAACTGAACAAATGGAAGTGTGCAAGGCAGTCTGGTAGTAGAGGCCAAGGACGCCATAATGCACACGTCCTATTGAAGCAAATAAGTAGCTTTTAATTCCACTTGGAAAACTGCTGCAGCTGAAATTGGCTCTCTATTTTCTGACGCGGGACCCTGAATTGCAACTTGAACCACATTCATTCATACATACATAAACTTGATTAACGTGTTGGTCTTCTAGCGTAACACATGTAATGTTTGTTTCCAGGTACCGTGGTTTCCATGACAACACCTACCCCTTCAAGTTTTCAAAGCAGTACTGGCACGTGATAGCAGCACGTTTAGCCTTTGTCTTCGTGTTTCAATACACAGTCTATGCCGTGACCAGTTTCATTGCTTACATTATCCCTGACAAGTCCAGGAGCTCGGAGATCAAAGAAAGAATGGAAAAGCTGTTGGTAAAGAACCGCTTGTATGGAAAAGGGAAAATGAATGAATATAGAGAGAATACAATGCTGTAGACACTGCCATTGGCTACTTTAGGAAAGGATTATATATTCAAAATGGTCTTTGATCAGATTTGGATCAGAATAGACCCATTTACCTTCGTATGCAAATTGCCCATTTCAGATCACATGACATTCCCTTGAGAGTTGTTCTTTTATGACGAACTTGTTAAAGTATTTACAGATGAAAGAATCAACTGCCAAGAGTGGCATCACATGGTCTGAAATGTGCACAACAAACAAAGAAGCTAAAGAGGTCTATATGTCATTAATTGGTATATTTTAGCTTTATGACACGATTCTTGGAATCGTTCGGCTTTTCTGATCCAAATATAATAAGACACCCCCGGAAAGACACCATTTTGAATATTGGACAGCAAGGATTTGCCGAGGTGTCCTAGTCTGTATTCTGGAGTGGGCTTTTACATCAATCAAGCCTTTACGTAGCCACATACTTGAAATATAACCCGACACAACTAGGTCGCGATGAGCATGTTGACAAACTTTTAAGCATAAGCATTTTAATCATAAGCTTCTACAACTATAACTACCGTAACGCAGCAGTGCATTTTCATTAAAAGAAAAGATGTAATGCTTTGACATGTAAAGGATTGGAACAATTCGTAGTTTGTAGTTTTTTTAATAACAACTTGCGCTCACCAAACTCGTCACATGCAAGCATTTGATAAACCTAATTTTAGTCTCATTCTTTCTTTTAAAACGATATTCTCTTAATAACTTTTTATAATGTAATTTTTTAATGTTTTTCATACAAAAATAAAGTACAATTGTGATATTTTTGTCTCAGCTAGGTGTCAATAACCAAGCAATTACAATTTGTGAAATTATGCAGTTATTATTATCATCATTTCATTTCATTTTTTTCTTTTTCTGATTCGCCAATACGTAACAAACAACATTCAACAAAAGAGCTAAAGAAAAAAGAAAATTTACATAGGACAAATAGCATCATGTACTACCCACAGAAACATGCTCCAATAAAAAGCCGTACCCCCAAAAAAACAGTCGTAGATCTTCCGAAAGCCTTGCCTAATTGTTACCAAAGAACATTTAAATGAGCTTCATAAATTGCAAATAGACTATAAAATAGTAATTCCCGTGAGACTTAGACTAGCAGAATAAGCGTTTTCATAGTTTAAGAATCGATTCCACTGCGGATGCGATTTTATCCCGAATTTCTAACCTTCTTTTGTTTAATTAAGAACAAAAGAAGGTTTAGACAAAAGAAGGTGAGAAATTCGGGATAAAATCGCATGCGCAGTGGAATCGATTCTTAAACTATGAAAAGGCTTATTGGCACTAAATCATTGGCCACTCCGGTTAGAGTCCTGTAAAGGAGCGTCCTTATTTATAAAAAAAATATATGTAAAAACATTTTCAGTACATTTGCCGTAGAGCATTTTCCAAATTTTTAGTCCTATATTTGTAAGCCAATGTATATTTAGGTAAACAATAGCGCTGACGTTATGAATTTTACCGTAGAAAGTTGGTTTTCGCGCTTCTTTTTATTCAAAAAGTTGTTCAGTGAGCTGCTTGTGCTCAAAAGTCTTGAATTCCTTAAAAACTACCGAAGTAAACCCCAATTTTCTTTTCAGTTTTGAAATCAGCTTTAAATTTGGGCTTTAAAAATTGTGATTTAAAAATGTTTTCATGAATTTGTTTTATAAAGGAACTATCATTTCGCAGCAACACTGACATCATTTCCCGCCAGATTCTCTAAACAAGAGTCACGTGATTCGTAAGCTAGATGATGTAAGATTTGAAAATGGCTAAGTTTCGAAATAAAGTTGAAATATTTCAATTTTGTAAATATAGGTAAAATTCTCCTCTTTTCTATTTTTTATTTTTTTCTTTATTTCTCCCTTTCTTTTTCCTTTTCTTTCTTTTTACGCTGAGCGGTCAATATGTTATTATCGATCTTGACGATGAAGACAGGTTTTTTACTAGTTGGCGCACTAGATGAATTTCATTTACAAACAGTGAGCCCAAAATATGACTGGACTGATTTTCGATGTAAATCCGAATTAATCGAGATGAAAAATAACAATAAGAATAAACGGGCAAAAAGAAAACAAAGAATTGTAAAGGCTTTTGAGCTTTTTGTTATGTTTGGTTAGTTTGCATTTAATTCTAGATCTTTAATTCCCAATAATTCTATAGTAGGACTGAGTAACAAAGTATATCGAAAAAAGATGATCACGTAAACCTAAAAAAAAAAAAAACGTTGACCTCACAACAAGTGGCAGAGGGGAGTATTGTTTTCAAGTCATGAAACAAAGTTAAACGATATATTTTTTCACTGTCGACTTCTTATTCTTTAAAATTTTGAATTTTAGATTCTTAAGGATTTTAGAAAGTTTTTTTAGGGGGTTATGTACAAAAGTTTTTTTTCATAGGATTACATAACAACTGTTGTCATTGCAGCGAGATGTTTTCTAAAGTATGCGCCAGAAATTTCCATAAAAACTGTGATCGTATGTACATGAATATTTCATTACAAACACTCTTTTTAGTCGGTCACTACTGACTACTGCATGTGATCTTCAAACAAAACCTCAAAGAATCAATTTATTCAGTCATTCAAGGATCAAAACCTACATTGAATTTTCAATTAAACAAGAGTCTTTAGTGAAAGAGTCATTTGTTTCCCTTCCTGACTAGTTTTGTGCTAAAATATTCAAGTCAGGAAGAATAGAGGGAATCGTTTTGTATGATTTTTTATCACTCTTGCATCTTTCTCGTGCAAGACATGCAGGAAATAATTTTTTGGGAAGCTAATTACCATTTTCAATAGTACCTGGAGTGTGAATGACTCACACCCTGTTTTCAAGCTCGGCTACTAGAAACTCTGAATTCCATCGGAGATTTGAAGGGTGACACTGCTATAAGTGATGGCCGACTTAAAAGCAGTTCATTCCAGAGGTGATACAGATGAAGACGACGTGCTCCTCGAAATGGAAGGCAAGAACGGTAACACTGATTCTGGCAATCCACTAGGACTGTACTTTGAATCTGGGGGTCATAAAATCGACTACATCTTGGTGTACGAACGGTGCCCAGAGGATGAAGAGAAAGATGACGAAGAGGCCAAGAAGGCTGAAGAACATGAAGAGAAACGAGAGGCGTTTGAAAAAGCATTAGGAGAGGAAGGTTTGCTGATTGAACGAGACGAAAGCATATCACCTCAGGTAACCGCAAACATACAACTTTCTTTCGTTCCCGCATCAATAGCCCTCCAGATGTTATTGTTTATCTTTATATCTATCATGCATTCATAGTGTACAGACCATTCCAAAGGAAAATGCTTTAGCATACAAATATTATACTATAAGCATTAAGATCTACAATACATTGGGGGACAACGACCAGCTGGCCATAAATACCAAAACATAACTGATGAAAACAAGTGCTTGAATAACTGTAGGTTACGAGGATGAAGGTTTACAATGCAAAGAAAATATTCCTAACACTCATTGGATCAATAATTTAATATCTCTAATATTTCATAAAGTACCTAATTTAAAACTTTAAATTTACTGAAGGAGATTAGTAAAACTAAGTTGAAGTAAATGCGTGGTTTGGAAGGTTTTTTAAACATCATTTATCATAAACAAGAAACACTTGATTGGTTTCATCGCTTTTTGCCACGTTATTTTCACTTCAAAGTTTGTCGAAATAAATTTTGCCGACTTGTTTAGGGCCTTCGACTGCATGGGACCATTAATTCTATAAAAGATATTTGGTAATTATCTAGTGATCTCATAAACCAGTGTTTAGAGGTAATACTTTTGGAGGTTTTGAGAAAATAATATTTGGTAAAATACTAAGTTACGTTTAAGCGTTGTTGATAGATATTCTAGCAATACAAATAAACAATTACAAATATCATGAACATAATGTTAGTGACTCAGTACATCTCGCTCTTAAAATAAATAAAAAAACTAAATATAAATATACTTTTATTTGTAGTTGTGGCCGACAATGTTAATATTCAAGATAAAAATGAATGAATGAATATTTTTGATACGATACACCCCAATATTGGTTACTTGCATCTTTTTGCTTCTTTCTTTTTTCAGTTGTCATTGTTACCAATATYCATCTCTATAAAATTTCCTTCGTGCTTGACCAAATTTTGCGGGGTTTCTTTATCAAGTTCTAATAGTTCTAATAGGACCTAAAACTCAAAGGAAAGGTTTACTATTCTTGACGTCCATTCTAGGCATCAAACAACCAAATTAACATTCAATTTGCATAGTTTTACATACTTTAATATGATTAGTCGTGTTGTAAGCTTGAGAGCAATTAATTAAGAACTTCGCGAAATTAAGGAAATTGATACTGAGCAATCAATCTTCAAGGGAGAAAAAAATTAATTCTAATATGGAGTCTTAAAAAAATGCTCTTGATTTTAGCTGATATTTTCAACGTTCTTTGTTTTTCACGGATCAACGATCAATAGGCAAACAAGCTGAGCCACACTTTTTAGTTCTTGAAATTACTATTCTGATTGGCTGAGAGACAATTAACTCTTTTAAGCCCCCTTAGGCTGAGATTATCGTGCACGTTCTTGCATGTGAGATTATTTAATCATCTCGGTCAAACATCCTAAAATTTATCCACTATAATTAATCTGTAACTTAAAGAGAAACATTGGCGTTTTCTTGAATTCAAATGTTTTCAATTGGTCATGGGCAAGTTACCGTTTTATCTATATAAAGGCAATGCCCGGTGATGTTTATGATTGGTCAGCCCGTCTATCTGATTATACATGCATGATATTGGTCTAGCTAGAAGAGGTAAGGGTCGAAACAACATTGCCATATGCTTCTAGTGTGTAGACAATTAAAAGCGACCATTTGTAAACACCACATAAAAAGATCAATATTGTGCGTCTTGAAGAAATAAAGAATTCTGTTAGAAGAAATTATTTTTTTTCGCAAAAATGAAAATGAGCGGGGAGGGGGAGGGGGGGGGAGGAAAAGGAAAAGAAAGGAAGTTTCTATCATGCTGCTCTTTTTGAGGACTCATCTCGGTCATATCACGTACAAAACAAACAAGAGATATAGTACCCAGCTCATGACTATGTTTGTACCGTGCTATAAGATGGCACAGATGATTGATTGTCTTAATTTCCCTTTACGCTGTAGCCGAGAGAAAAACCAACAACGATGCAGAGACTACGTAATAACTTGTGCTTGGGCAAGGATAAAAATGAACAACATGTTAGTAATGACAGATATTTATAACCTTGCACAATGCACTCTGCTTCTTTCAAGAGTTTCACGGATTCGAAATATTATCTTTCGTGGCCCTGTACGTACTGCCATGTAATGCATTTGTTTTTTGTTGTTGTTGTTCAAAAAACACATCCTCAGATGAAAAATAAACCCAACAGGAAACAAACCGAACACGCTGAAGCTACGGCAACTAATGAGGCTTTTGTTAGTATACTTCCGTTTGTGTCTCTTTGCACTTGCATTTATTTGAAAAACAAAATTGCGGTTTGGTTGCATGTTGCATACCAAGTCTGAATGACATAAATAGAGGATATTACATGGGCGCGCGGAGATACGAAATTTATCTTCGAGTGTTGAAAAGATCTCTCACGAGTGAGCGTAGAGAGAGATTTTCAACACGAGAAGATAAAATTCCTATCTCCAAGCGGCCATGTAATATTCTGTTTATTATATAATTATCAATGAAGTATGTTTTGGCTTTTTCAGGCAATTCTTCCCGTGTATTTTTGAATAGCCATCGCAATGGTGTTATTTTCACGTGTGAAGATATCAATTTTTCGAAATAGAGAAAAATAGATATTTCATTGGTAATTATATAATAAATTGCATTATGGGATACAATCAGCAAAAAATCAAAACATGCAATATGGAATTTTACAAAACTTTATCTGCACGTATTTCTATTATATTCTCAAGGTTGGAACTTTTTTTTTGAGGTAGGGGGTGAGGTCTTGTTGGATGTTTACAATGTGTACTCATTTCTATGCCTCGAAATAAACTACTCTATTATTAGATGTGATCTGGTAGGAAGAATGAATACGATTTGAAAGGACAACTTACCTGCAATATATTACTAGTCTAGCTTACCTGTAATGAATGATTGCTGCATTCTTAGGCCTAGGGCAAACGTCGAACTTTCCATGCACCGAACTCATTAAAAACAATGGATATCAGGTGATAATGAGGCGGCATTCTTTGATGTAATTAAGTTCGGTGCATGGAAAGTTCGACGTTTGACCTAGGCCTTAGTTATAATATGTGATACTGGATAACAATAAGTGATTTTGTAAAACTTTCAGCTTCTACCACGTGTGCACTACCAGACAAAATCAAAACTCTAATCTTAGTTAGAGTTAAATACCGAGAACGGAGGCAATAAAAATGATTGAATCGAGAACATTTGCAAAACTGACTTTAAATTATGGATTTTCAGGCAACCAAATGAAAAAAAGAAAAGAAAAAGAAAAGAAAAGAAAAAATTCTAATAAACCTTTGATAACAGTGCATAACGCAAACATTAATGAGTGTTATATTCAGTTAGTTTATTTCAATGGCGGGCGTGGTTTTTATTTTTCGCTGGGCAAATTTTACAGGCTTCATGACGCCTCAGTTTTGCAGTGTTGTCATTCCTACGTCAATATTTTAGATCAGCTAGACACACAGCCAGACACTTCTGTTAGTACAACTCGTATTCCACGTGACTTTGTGCGCATGCGTGATATTTCTATATATTTTATTGATTTTGAATTTAGAAAAAAGACGAAGCAGATAAACCTCTTGAGATAAACGTTGAGCCAATTAAAGTCGACCACAAGGACTGTGTTAGTACAATAATATAATATAAGCAATTTTGAAATTTAGTTATATATTTTCCAATTTCAATGTATCCGGTAAAAGAACGTTCTAATGATCCAGGATTAATTTCTATCTAATGATTAGTAGTGCTAATTGGTTAATTGTAAATTGTTTTTCTAAATTCTTAGAGAGAAGAGACAGATTTGCAGCCAGAGGATGTTAAAAATGATACTTCTAACAAAAATATTGTTAGTATCTACCCATCCATCCATCCATCCATCCA